TCACTTAAGTATCTAAAGCAATATGCTTTTTAAACAGAGAAGACTTGCCCAAGAAACAAAAATGGAATATATTAATGCAGAGATTAATAATGAAAGAAAACCCCATAGGTTTGGGGTAGGCATATGGATGGGAAGGGAATGAAACTTAGAAAAGGCTACCATACCTTAACAACTGGGGCCCAGAAGGAAAGACCACTGCTTCAGCCCCAGGACACTGGAGTAATGCTTTTTAAACAGAGAAGACTTGCCCAAGAAACAAAAATGGAATATATTAATGCAGAGATTAATAATGAAAGAAAACCCCATAGGTTTGGGGTAGGCATATGGATGGGAAGGGAATGAAACTTAGAAAAGGCTACCATACCTTAACAACTGGGGCCCAGAAGGAAAGACCACTGCTTCAGCCCCAGGACACTGGAGTACCAGACAGAGTTACTTCTGAAACAGCCAAGAGGAGAAAGGGCAAAATGAGTGTGGGGAAAATCTTTGTTCCTTTGGCCCCCTTCTGAGGTTTTTGACTCCGATTGGCAGAAATATAACAGAGTCAGGTATCAAAGGAGCCTGGGAGTTTGCAGACTCTTATACCTGGCATTTGGAGCAGGGTAGGGCGTGGGCAAAGGACTTACAGGTGAGCCATGTGTGCACTGCCCATCTACTTTCTGCTTCAGATTAAATCACTGAGTTTCTCTGCTTCCTTTAAGTGTTTCTGTAGAAGAGTAGTTATGGAGACAATGAAAACCTGTTACTTAATTCAGCCTTTAATAAATAGGAATGACAGTCAAAGTTATAGTGTAATAAGTTGAAAAACATATGAGGAATTTTGTTGCCATGAATGAATGACTTTACACTGTCAGAGTGGATTCTGTCGAGGCGACTCATGCATATCACTTGCTGGAGAAAATTGGCTTGGAACATCATTGAGACATCTAATTTAGAGACCTGGTTCAATGTTAGTGTAATTAAGCAGCCCAGTTTATTTTAATTTTTTGAAATTTTATACCATTTTCTAATAGTTTTAAAGACTAAAGCATTATATAACCTGATTTTCTAAGCATCATGAGAAATTCTGACATCTTTAACAAAAGATATTTGTAAATGTTTCCATAATTCATTAAACCTGTTTTTCTTAATATACTACCTACATGCTGTGTGGGTCAAAGGCCAAGTCAAAATGTTTCTGTTTTCCAGTGAAAAGATAACACCAGGCAGGAAGGAAATTACAGCCTAAAACTGACAGAGTACTGTCATTTGAATTTTTTGCAGAATTTAAGGAATCAAATATATTCAGATGAAATTTACCTTTGAGCTGAGTTTAAGAGGGTCGGGGGGTTGGATGTGGTCACGCATGCCTTTGTTCCCAGCACTTGTGAGGCAGAGGCAGGTAAATCTCTGTAAGTTCAAGGCCAGCTTAGTCTACATAGTGAATTCCAGGCCAGCTGGCTACACAGTGAGACCCTGTCTTAAAGGGGGAGAAGTGGGAGGCTTAGGCTTAGCTGGTAAGAAATCATTGCTGGGTTGGGAAGGTAGCTCAGTGATTAAAGCACTTGCCACACAAGTATTAGAACCAGAGTTCTGGATCCCCAGAAATGCACATAAAACGTCAAGTGGACATAGTGACCCACCTGTAATTCTAGCCTCAGAGGTTGGAGATGAAATTCCCAGAACGAGCTGGCTAGCAAGTCTAGCCATATCTACAAGCTTACATTTGATTGACAGACCCTGCCTCAATGAATATGGTGAAAGAGCCATTGAAGGTGATTCCTTACATCAGCCTCTGGCTTACACATGCACATGCACACATGTGCACAGAACCCACACACATGCAAAAACATTCATGCGTATACATACATATATACACACACATACACAAATGGAAAAAGAAAAGATAAAAAGAATCCATCGTTTTGTCCTTCAGTGGCTTTTACTGACTTTGCAGATTAGAACCAGCCATTTTATATTGTGAATGTTAAGTGAAATCTTTCTCATGAGAAAGCAAGGAGAATTCTGTCCTTCCCAAACAAGGCAAAGAGGCTCCAAATTGCTGAGGGTTTCTGCATGACTGTATTTTCCAAGGTTGCAAACTAAGTCTGAAAGGCCCATATTTTTATCTTGAGTTAGATGTAGATAAGGAGTTCTAGATCATTCTTCACAAGTGAATTGGAGACCTCTCTCTCTCTCTCTCTCTCTCTCTCTCTCTCTCTCTCTCTCTACTCTCTCTCTCTCTCTCTCTCTCTCTCTCTCTCTCTCTCTCTCTCTCTCTCTCTCTCTCATAGGCACACTCACCTGTGTATATATGTGAAGGCCACAGGTCAACTTATTGAGATAGGGTATCTCACTGTTTTACTGTTTGGGAGCTTGCCATTTTCTCTAGACTTGCTAGCCGGTGAGCCCCAGGTCCACCTGTCCCTGACCCCCGCCCCCAAGCACTGGGGTTACAGGTATACGCTGGCAGACTCAGTTTTAAATTTATTCTATTTTATGTGCGTGTTATGCCTGCATGTATGTAAGTGCACCCGTGTCATGCACCAGGCTCAGTTTTTTGGTGGGTGCTAAGGATCTGCACAGTGAGCACTTAACCCACTGGGCCATCTCCCTGACCCCCACATAACTTTTTTTGTTTTTGTTGAGACAGGATCTCACTTTGTAGCCCTGGCTAGCCAGGAAATCACTATGTAGATCAGGCTGCCCTTGAACTCAGAGAGCTCTGCCTGCCCCTGCCTCCAGAGTGCCATGTCTAAAGACCCATACACAACTTTTTAATTCAGAAATATTTTTCTATTGTTCTAAATGATACTTGATCAAAGATGGACTATATGGGGATTTTCTGGAAAAAGAATCATGAACAGTGTTTTTCAGTTATTTCAGTAGTCTGAAATAAGGTATAATACTTGTGATCACAAAATGACAGGTTATATAATTATGCCGTCTTGGGCTTATGGGTCTTCATTTCTAGTTGTGTGACTGAGCGAGTTAATCACTTCCCTGTTGCTTTAGTTGCTGCATCTGTAAGGTGGGTATCATAATGCTATCTATTTCATGAATTTTTTTTTAAATGCATGACATGGGTTGGTAAGAAAAAATGAGAATCTCTATAAATAAAGGTAAGGTGGGGGTTTTATATGGTTTTGTTTGGCTTTGTTGGTAATATCTTAGAGAGGAATAAAAGCAGAAAAGTTAGAATATTGACTCTGGGGGGTGTTGCTTTGTTTTCAGTATGCGGATCTAAATCGCCATGTGGATGCACTGAACGCATGGAGAAATGCCACCGTGCTGAAGCCAGAACACAGCCTGGCTTGGAACAACATGATCATCCTCCTGGACAACACAGGTGCAAAGGAAGATAAGATGAGAAGGTGTTCCACTGTCCAGTACTGTGGGCCAACTAGGGTGCCTAGATCAGTGTGCTCCCCACAGTTTAAAAGTTAAACAAACATGGGGTTACTTGGTATTACAAAGCTCTCTGTTTTTCTAGGGAGTAAGGAGATGGCTCAGTTGGTAAAGAGCTTGCTGCACAAACATGAGGACCTGAGCTTGGTCCCTGCCACATAAAAAGCTAGGCATGGTGGATGCCTATAACTCCAGCACTAAGGAGATGGGGATCCCTTGGGGACTCACTGGCCAGCTAGTATGACTGAATTGGTGAACTCCAGTTTCAGTGAGAGACCCTGTCCCTGCCTCAAATGATAAGTAGGAGAGCAATTGAAAAAGACAGCTGACATTGACCTCTGGCCTCCACATGCACATGCACACAAGTACACACATACACATATGTATGTCTTTCTAGAGAGTGGAGTTTCCTCTGACACACTGGAATATAACACATTGGAAGAAAATCATACTGTACTTAGAATTGGTGTTGCGTTGTGGAGGAAGATGTGTAATCATACCGCATTTGTCTTGAAGCCTGGCTTTAGCCACACCACCACCAAGTGTGCTAGAAGCACCCAGACCTGAACAAGAAAGACATCTATTTTGATGGAGTGGAAGATGTAGGTCCATTCTCCCAAGTTCATGGACTGTCCACATAGGAGTCACCCTCAAGTCTTACACTGAGAGCAATGGATTCTTAGTTAAGATCTAATGCTAATGAGTTCATTTGTTTTTTTTTTTTTTTCGGTCCATGGTAGACCAGATCCAACCCGTTAGGAGTCATCTGCTACCCTTTTTTCATTTCTTGTGCTGGAGCTCCATCCTAGGACCTTGCATATCTTAGGCATTTTCCCAAATGAACTACATCCCCAGCCCTGTTTTTAAAAATACAACCATCCTTTAAGAAACCATGGTGACACTTTGACAAGATTTATAGCTAGCAAGCATTGTGGAAAAGAAACAGACACTTGTTTTCTAAGAAAATACAGAATTTTTACTTCCATATGAGAATAATTCAAAAGTTAGGGTTAGTATAATCCTCTTAATGTTGGAGACATGTTTTCTCCAGTTTGGGGATAACTGGTATCTCGGGGAAATTTTAAGCTCTTGTTTTATGTGGTTTTACAGAATGTAATCTAAAGGTGTTTACATACTGTTAGAACAGTGCTGAGCTGCCATGGCTCTTCCATTCGCAAGGTTCTCTGTGTGTTGCCGGGGGGTGTCTTTACACATTCTACATGGACTTTGTTAAGTGGTATTTTCATAATCATGTGTAATACATGTGAGTCCTGTTTTAGAGATGAAAACTCAGGTACAATATTAACATAATTTTTTCATTATTTCTCCCAGGTAATTTAGCCCAGGCTGAAGCAGTCGGAAGAGAGGCCCTGGAATTAATTCCTAATGATCACTCTCTTATGTTCTCATTGGCAAATGTTTTGGGGAAATCTCAGAAGTACAAGGTATGTAAACCACAGGCCATCAGTGTGCCTTCTGCCAGGTTCAATCCAGAATTAGGCTAGAACTGTGGCATTGGCGTACCAGGGTAGCGTGGGCAGTTTATTTTCTGCAGAAGTTGCCCAACATGTTTGTGGGTCAAACCCGGTGTCCTTTTCCTGTCAGGACCCAGTTTGCTTCCCTGTGGAGAAGGAAGAGAACCTCGGGGAGGGGCAGGAATTAGGATGAGCTAGCTGCTTGCTACATGGCAGGTGTTAGGACCACTTCGAATGGTGAAGCTCTTCTAGAACATACCCTGGCTCACCCTTGCATGAAGGGGTCTGACCCTGTTCCTTGAAGTAGGGACAGAGCACTAGGGGTTATCTGTGGGTGCTGTCTTTTGCTTACAGAGAGTAGCCAGCTAGGGAGAGGGAGGATGTACAGCTAGCTCCCACTGCTGCTAAAGTTTTTTCTTCTCTGAATTGCATGCCATCAGCAAAGCCCTAGAGATTTTTGGCCAATGGAAATCATAAGATTTACATCTAGTACTGAAATGTAGCTCAGTGATAGCGTACTTTTCTAGGATATATGAGGCCCTTGGTTCAACTTCCAGCACTGCAGACAAACAACCAAAAAGATACTAAATCAGTTTCACTGGGGTTTTCAACACTGCTGACTGGTTAACTGGGTCTTACCCACTTTACAGGGATTGAAGGGGACTTGAGGTTCTCAGAACCAGCAATCCCACACTCAGATTCTGTACATCAGCATCACTGATGGAGCTGGTTAACATAGATTCCTCCCCATGAGGGGAGGCATGGGAAGTCACCATGGCATGGGTAAAGTCAGGGGATGTGTACTTTTAACCAGCATCCTCAGTGCCCCACCCCCACCCCCATAGCACAAACACTCTGAAAAGCAGACCCCTAATTCATTTGAGGAGCATAGATATTTGAGTTACTGCTTAAAATAGTCATCAACATTTTATTACTATTTCATGTTAATATTTTATTCTCAGTAATTTTATTTCAGAATGATAACAGCTATAGGTTGCGCTGATCACCCTGGGGCTGTGGATAAGACTCACAGCCTAATAGTAGCAATTAATTAGTATCTTTCCAGTGTCACTTCTGTTACTAGACATCATTGGTTTAGTTTTCTGTAAGTTATTTCATGTGTTTATGTCATTTTTTAATGTCAGTATGTCAATGAATTTAGTGGTTTCACTATACATTTTAGCTTTCTAGCTTTCGGGGATGTTTCATTTCATTTTTATACCTCTGTGTGGAGAATGGGATGTGGTTGTCAGCGAGGACAGTTCAGAAGGCTGGTCCTCCACTGACCAGCTGCAGCTAACCTTCACAGTACAACTTATGGATCACCTTATTGATTTTTCTATCATCCTACAGTCTATGAACTTGAGTTTCTATTAAGGGAATTGAACCCAGGCTTCATTTGACTTCCTGTTCACATCTTTTTTTGCTACCCCCAGATAAAGTAACATACTCCATAGAGCAGAGTAAAGAAATTAGTTCCGCATTTTTCATGCGAATTGTCAAGTCCAGGGTGCTGAGCCTCAGATAAGGAACAAGATGAAATCTGAGATAAGGAGCTCCTTTAAGCTCTGGAGTAGCTACCAGCAGGGGAGCATGATGGGACTTTTCCAGCCAGAGGGTCAGCCATAGTCCAGCCAGGGAACCAGCATTGGATACATTTTCTAAATTTAGGGTTCGGAATTTAAACAGGTGTGTAGCTTTCCTCTCACAAGGCAAAGATGATGCTTGTTTTTAGATTAAGGGTTTGGAATTTTTAAAAACTGTATTTTTTTTTCTCAGTACAGAGATCCCTTTGCTCTTGGCCTACTGCGTGCCTGGTGCTTGTTGCTGGCTGTCTCCTTGCAGAGCCCTGGGCAGATGCTGGGGGAGGGGGGATGTGGTGGCCACTTGTGGGACTGAAGTAGCCATGTCCTTTAGCTCAGAGATCAGGGGTCTGCACTCTGGATAACTCACTTTTCATCTAAGGACTTACTGGTTTTTCTTGCTTAGATTTGGAGGTGGAGGGGGTTGCCTGTGGGTATATTCATTTTATTATTTTTAGTCTTTTTGAGACAGAGTCTCCCTGTAGCCCCAGCTGGCCTGGAATTCACTATGTAGACCAGGCCTCTGCCTCCCGAGTGCTGGGATTAAAGGTGTGCACCACCACATCAGGCTGTTTATGGGTATATTCACATGTATATGTATGCATGTGTGCATGTGTTTGCACATGTGTGGGTGGAAGCCAGAGGTTGATGTAGGTTATCTTCTTCAGTCACTCTTACCTTATTTTTTCAAGGGAGTCCTCACTATCTGGAGCTCATGTATTCAGCTAGATTGGCCAGGGAGCTCCAGGGATCCTCCTGACTCTGCCTCCCTAGCACTATACCTACTTTTACAGGGGTCTTGGGGATACAAGTCAAATCTTCATGCTTTCACTAAGCACTTTACTGACTAAGCCATCTCCCCAGCTTTGGATTTTGGTTTTTGAGGGAAGGAGGGACCACTGACTGACTTGCTGTATAGTTCACTAGCCTTGAACTTGAATTCCTTCTGCTTTCTGGGTGCTGGGATTACAGCACATGCCATTGGGCCAGGCATCGATGCCTTATACTCTCATTTGCTTGCTCGATCTCTGTAGAGCTGTGTCTTCAGTCCTGGTCCTGTTTTTATGTTTATTTTGCTGTCTAACATTTTGACACCCAGCTCACAGAGTGAAATGTCCAATGCATTTCTCATTAGACTCAGAATGCAGGCTTCCACAGCCTTGTTAAAAATGTTGATGTGGGGGCTGGAGAGATAGCTCGGCAGTTAAGAGCACTGGCTGCTCTTGCAGAGGAACTGGGTTCAGTTCCCAGCACCTACATGGCAGCCAACAACCATCCAAAAACTGCAGTTCCAGGGGATCCAACTCCATCTTCTGACCTCTGCATGCATTGCATGACATGGGTGCACTTACATACTTGAAGGCAATGCACTCATACACATATAATAAAAATAATTTTTGAAAATAGAAACGATGTGCAGAGTGAGTGTTCCTGCTGTGTGCTGTAGTTGTAGTACCTAACAGCAGTCACTTACCTGTCCTGGCTTTGGTTTGTTCATGTGTAAAGTGAAGATCGCAATCTAGCCAACTCCTGGCCAGGGGATAGGAAAACATGCACAAGGAAACTATTAAATGGTAATAATTTTAGTTTGATGATCATGAAATGAACCTCTATAGATCTTTTTTTTTTTTTTTTTTTTGGCTTTTTTTGAGACAGGGTCTCCTTGTAGCCCCAGCTGTCCTGGAACTCACTATGTAGATGAGACTGGCCTCACACTCACAAAGATCCACCTGCCTGTGCCTCCCAAGTGCTGGGATTAAAGACGTGTGCCACCATGCCCGGCTTTATAGATCATTTTAAATGTACTAAAATTTATGTTATTTCTTAATGTTTTAATTTCCAATTCAGGGCAAAAGTTCAAAAGTGATGTTTTTCAGTTCTTACTGTGTCATTTCACTGTCAATTTCCCTTTATACATAGCTCACTGGCCTCATGATTTAAGAGCAGGTAAATAGAGAGAGCAGTTTCCCAAAGTCGGGTCTTATATGTCACACCTTTAAGAATTTCTTGGGTTTCCTCTTGAACGTTCGTCCTGACTTAAACTATAAGTTGCTTTCTTGATGTATTTATTTTGAGTCTGAGTTTTCCTCTGATTTCCTGTGTAGCCCAGGCAGACACCAAATTCACCAATGCTCAGTTGCTCAAGTACCTAGGGTTACAGGTGTGCACCACTATACCCAGCTGATATTTTTCTTTCAATGGACTTTAAACACAAATAAATGGGATTAAAGGGTAAGCATCATGTCATTGCCAGAAATAAAAGGTAACTAGAAATGAATATTTTACTCAAGCTCGGCTACTTACTATTGCTGAACCAGGCTCCAAGCCCAAGGGGTCACCCTCTGTGAGCTTTAAAGGAGACTGGCAGGCAGTAGAGGGCATGACCCACAAGCTGCCTTGTTTCTGCCTGAGTGAATGGGAAGGAAGGCAATTGCTGTGTGCTCTGGTTTCAGCTTCACGTCACATGCTGGCCCTTGCCTTCCTTGAGTCAAGCAAGATACAGTGCCCTCAGAGGGCACACACTTGGACTGAATGTCCTGCTGCTCCTGTGATGCTTTTTGCCAATCACTGTAGTGGTTGAAATGACATGCCAGGTCCTCCACCCAGACCTATGCTACTTATTAAAAGACCCATATTGCAAGGCCATTCTCAGTCCTGTGCCTTTGCTAAATGCACTTCAGAAAAGAATGTGGTGCTTTTCCTTTGTATTGATTTAAAAAAAAAAAAACTCCCATTTAAAATGTGAGTTTGTCTATTAATTGGTATGAAATCAGCACATTGCCTGAGCCATGAAGCATCCAAACCCCTCCATGGATCAGTTTGTAAATAGTTCACTGCTTTCTTAAACCTTGCCATCAAAAGCCTGATGCAGAGGATCAGCATGACATGGGCTTTGAACACCCTGCCTGCCCTTGTCAGGTACAGTCCAGGGCTGCTGAAGCAGGCACTCGGGTGACCTCACTGCTTCTTGAGGCAGTAGCTCCAGCCCACACTCACTTCCTCCCAGACCTGTACTTCCTCTGACACCCATATGTCCAGACTACACTGTTTGCATCCCCGGACTTTGGTTTCCTCCTTTGTCTCCTGCTTCCCCTGCAGAGTTCTATCCTACCTCTCAGAAGCAGTTGCCCCCTAAGGAAGTGAGAACTCTAAACCCCTGCCTACCATGGTGCCTGCCACTGTCTCCCCCAGTCTCACTGACTCCTCATTGACCAGGAACAGCCATGGTCTTGGCATTAAAGCAGTTGACTGAATGAGAAATGACTCTAAGATACAGCTTTTGATCCCTAAAACAGTCCTTCCAGAAAACTCCATCTTCCAGCAGCAGAGTACTTTTTTAAATCATTTTTAAAAATTTTTTAATAACTGCATGATTAGAAGAAACAT